TTCAGCTACGCTATTCACGTAGCTGAATTTGCGTATCTTAAATCGACTCCCTGCTGTAGTGTAGATGTACCCTCAGTGAAATTGAGGAAAACTGGTGCTTGCGTGTGTGTGCACGCATACACATATGGACGCACCTGCACACTTGCAAGGGAATGTGGAGAACAGGGAGGGAAACTGTAGGGAGGGAGATTAAAGGAAAATAGGGGGTTCAGAAGGGAGTCTGAGCAGGTTTTGTGGAGCATGGGGCAAGGTGGTTGTTCAGCCTCCCTTTCAACCGATGGCATTTCTGTGTTGGATGTGGAAGGGGTAAGAGTGAGTTAACAACTGGCACCAGTGGATGCAGCAGGTATTAGGGAGAGTGGTTCCTGATTTTAAAGGAAAAACTGTTAGTTCATGAGAGATGGCTGTAGATGGCATGATACTCTCTTGCATGAATCTTTTGTAAGACATGAGATTTGGCAGGATTATAACAAATTAATGGATGATTGCTCTAGTCTAGTCTGTTTTGTATTCTAGCCTGAGTCATCCATTTAAGTATTGGTGAGGTTTGTTAAGGTCAAACTTCCTTCTAGTATTGAATTGCATTGTTCTCCAGCTATTCTCTATTCCCATTTAAAAAGTAATGGACAGTTCATGAATGGATCCTTTTTCCAAAAAGACATTTGATACAGAATTCCAAATGCATATTTGGGCATATTTAGCAACCGGGTAGGGTTTCATCCTCCTTTTATGTGTTACAATTGCAACTGGAAAAGTATGATGGTAAAGGTGGTAACTATACCAGAGAAACAGAACTGAGTTTCTGTTTGCCTAGCAGAAAAAATGATTAAACATATTATAGAGTTAGTTATAGCCTTACTCCATTACAAGCAATTTAGAGTCCCTTCAGTGCACAGTCCTAGGGAGCACAACTGACCCTTGATATAAATTAATGTTTGCAATCTTGGAAAAACATGGCCATTTAGAATTACTACTCTATTAAAAGGTGGTTTGTGAGCAGTGTGATTTTTTCCCCCTTGGAGAAAGCTGGAAATAGTTCAGGAAAGTAACCACATTTTGTGAAGTGAAATTGTATACAAACATTCAACATAAGTAACAGAGTCTAATTACAGATTTGAAGTGGAGAGGTGGATTAGATAACACAGTCATGAAAGTAAATGTAGGGCAGATGAAGGCATCTAAAAGTGCCTATTCTCACCGGATGTTGATGTTTAGCTTCAAATTTTACAGTATTTCTGAAGACCTAAATCTCAGAATAGATTTCTAGCTGCACTTCCCTTCTCACGCTATTTAGGCCAAGGATCCCCCTAGAAGACTTCTAAAGAGGGCTTACCTGAAGAGGTCTCTGGGGTTATGTCTACACTGCAATTAAACACCAGTGGCTGGCCCGTGTTAGCTGACTCGGGCTTGCAGGGCTCAGACTGTAAAACTGAGGTGTAGACACTGGCTTGGGCTGGAGCTCAGGCCCCATTGAGGGTCCCAGAGGTCAGGCTCCAGCCCAAGCCCTGAACATCTAAACTGCAATTTTACAGCCCCACAGCCCAAGCCTTGTGAGCCTGAGTCAGTTGACATGGGCCAGCCGAGGGTGTTTAATTGCAGTGTAGACATAACCTGATATTGCAAGACCCACCTTCCTGTTAATTACCACTAGCAACAACATTTCATTATCCAGCCAGTAGGAGGTGTTCTTGTAACAGCAAAAAGCTGAAGGCCTTGTCAAACTTGCCAGCTGGAACAGAAAACTATTCTGTCACTCATGTAGCCCAATGTCTTGTATTTCAAAAATAACAAGCACAAAAAAATTGCACAGTCTAATTGTTTTTATCAGCAACACCAGCTTTAATTCAGTGCAAGTATTATAGCCATCTAATTTTCAAACTTGCTCAGCTATTTCCTGGAGCAGCTGCAATTCAAACATTTCTAAGTTAGTTAGAGGTTGTATCCTAATGTTGAGAGGATTGACAAATAGTTTTGGGGTGGTTTTTTCAGTGTGGGGTGCTGAAGGAATGAAGGCAGAACTTAATATATTTAACATTGCAATTGCCACTTAAAAAATGAATTAATTATTGACTGAATCTTTACTTCCAGAATTTGAATATTTTTATCTTGACTCCTCTTGATATCTCTTAGTGTTAGACATTGTATGCCAGCATAACACATTTTAATCTGTTTATGGAACCACTTAGCTCTTTAGTAGATTTTCCTTTAAATAATCCAGGGTGGTTTTGTTTGTTTCTCGAGAATTTAACCCCAAGTCTTTTCTTTTTTTTATCTTGGTATTCACAAAAGTTCATCATTTAGGGTCTGGTCATGCTCCCATTGAAATAAATGACAAACTCCCACTAACTTTAATAGGAATTGGATGGGGGTCCTTAATTAGTAAGTTTTCTTCTTTTATTAATGATGTAACTGAGAAATACAAATTGAAAAAGTTGCTTTTAGGAATAAAGAAATATCACATTATGTTTGTGCCTCTTTCTGTCCCCCCCCTTTATCTGTCATCTCCATTTAGACTGTAAGCTATTGCAGGCAGGGATGGTCTCTTGTGGGTATGGTGCCTAAACAATGGGGCCCCAATCTTGGTTGGGATTTTTAGGCACTACTATCATACAAATAACTAATAATAAGCAGTAATTAAAATCCCATAACATTTCAGTCCTTGCATACTGGCTCTGCCATCTTTATCAAATGTTTAAGAAGCTTTACAAATCTGCACTATGAACATTAGCTACAAACAACAGAATTTTAGCTGTATTGAATATATTAAAAATGTGGGGCTAGATTCTTTGGTCTGTCTAACCTGTGCCTCGTAGAAGATGTAGTGGGGTCATTAAATATGCTTTCTACTTCTCAATTCTATTCTTCACAGCTGCATTACACCAATACATCTGCTCTGTGTCCACCTGGAGGTATGGCCTAATTACAAAATGGTCTTGTCATCTCATCTGAATGTTGGCAGCTCGGAATATATATCTCTAAGTGGCTCATATCTTGGTTGCAACAGTTCTACTCTCTCTCCGCCAGGGGTCCCAGAGCACAGGCTCCAGACTGAGCCCAAACGTCCACACCACAATTAAACAGCCCCTTAGCCTGAGCCCTGTGAGCCCGAGTCAGCTAACAGGGACCAGCTGTGGGGTTTTTAATTGCAGTGTAAACATACCCTGTGTCGGCTTGCTCCTTTACAAGAAACCAAAATGCTATACTTGAGTAACACAATGGGACTTCTTTCTCATTAATAATTTTACCAGTCAGATACTTTTGAACAACTTAGGAGAAAATCCTGAAAACATTTGCATAGCACCCGTTAAAATTCTCATTCAAAATCTTAGGCCTTTCATCATAATTGGGACATTAGAGATTTCAAGGCCTCATTCCTTGCAGTAAAAGAATAAATTACAATGTGAAAGGCACACTGAGCTCAAGACTATCTCTCTGGATAAATTTAGTATGTTAAATACACTACTAAAACACTGCTTAGAGAGGTTGAAAATTTTTGGGAACACATCAGTTTGGGAACACATGTCATTGGTCAAATCCTGGCATTCACATTCCAAACTGTGCTTATATAATAAAGTCAAAGATTCATCTAGTCAGTTTGTACAATGTAATATTTGGCCTTATAGCCAATGTAGCTTTAGATAAAGACATCGGGTGAAATCCTGTCCCCACTGAAATCAATAGCAAAATTCCCATTGATTTCAGTGGGCCATGACTTCATCCACAGGGAATATGTGTTGAGGGTCATTGTTGACAATCCATAGAGCCATATGACCAGTGTTCAGTGGTAGTGAAAAGGACAAACAAGTCTTGTTTTTATACAAGTGAGAAGTCCCACATATATATGTGGATAAGGAATAGAGATATGTGGGGCTTCTCTAATCACTTTTTGAATGTATTATGTTACATTGGCCACCACATTACAAAATTAATACTGATTTTTTTTCAGTAAGAGCTATGAAGAAGAATTAGTCAGAGTTAGTCTACTGTCATACAGTGAGAACAGCTGAAAAGTATTGTATATAAAACATTGGAAATTCCTCACTGGGGGAAGAATTATTGAATTATACATTTCCTTGATGTCCTGCAGTGCTGAGCAAAGCTTCAGAAACCATCAGAGGGGCACATAGGCTAGTGCCAAAGATCCTAAAAATAAAAAGTAAAAACGGGCTGATGCCAAAAAGCTCTTTGAGACAGTAAACCATATTTTGTGTTTGAGTGTCAATAGGAAATATATCCGGGGAAATATCTCATGCTCTGAACAAATCAAATGTGCCGACAGGATCTGGGTTTGGCAACAGGATATGAGTGACAATTAAATAAACTCCCAGGAATCTCCTCTCTCCCTTCTGACTTGTGTCTGCCACAGGCCCAGCAGACAGCAATTTCTTCACTGTAGTATGAGGGATATGTGTGTGTTTTTGGGGGATGGGAGGAAGGCATACATTGTAGAGGCAGCAGCTCCCTTTACAATAAATATGGCAGCTGCTTTGAGTGGGATAAACTGCCCCTGTCTCCTCTTTGTTTTGGCTTTCTGTTAATCAAAATTCAATACTGAAATGGGACATGGAGATTGCTCTGACAGGGGCCTTTAGGTACTACTGTAATAATACTAGTAAGCTAGCCAATTTCATTTTCTGAGTGCCCTTTTCTGACTTCAAAGACTAATCTTGGTAATGTTTGAACAGACATTTCAGCCAAAGTAGTGGAAGAGGGATGACATCTATCAGGGGCTAGATGTGTGGTTCTGTTTAACTTCATGAACTCCTGAAATTCCGATTAAGTAAACTGTGGAATATCATTGATTATCTGTTCTGGGAAAACCAGGTTTTACAAACAACAGTACTTCAGTAATATATGCGGGTATTGCAGATGTCTTGCAAAATAGTTTCAGCCATTTGGAATAGGCTTAGGTCACAAGGTATATTTGGAAGTCATAGAAGGTCACTATCTCAGCTACTTTACCATCCTGAGTTGAAATCAAGGCACAGTTCTCTTTGCGGTAGCTGGCTGGGCACTTTCATCTTGTTGGCTGATATCAAGTCATAGGCCTATGTGAAGTTACTAACTAAATATCTCTGCCTTGCTGGGAGAATGCCAGGTTATAGGCCTCTTAGAAGTTCCTGGCTCTACACCACCAACTTGCTGAGCTGACATTGAGGCCTCTGGGAGGTTTCCAGGCTCAGTAGACACAACTTCCTGGATTGGAAGTAGGTGTCTGTGAGTATACTAGTTCAGAAGTGCTAGCTTGCTGGGCTGAAGCCAAAGCATAGGCCGTTGACTGTTTACACAGCTCAACTCTGCTATCTGCCTTGACTGATTTCAAGGGACAGGTTTTTGTGAGTTCACTGACTCACCATATCTAATTTGCTGGGCAGTGGGGAAAAATCGCTGTAAGGTTACTGGTTTAGCACTAGTGGTAAAAAGAGATCAAAATAGAAGGGGGAACTCACAGTTCTGGTGCTTTTCTGTCATTATGAGTGTTCACATCCTGTAGCGATATGACATTGTATCATCTTGTGTGATGGGATATGGCATGGAGAAGAGATTGGGGACAAGGAAATAAACATACCCGAAATGAGTGCATGTTCCCAGGAAGACACATAGCCAGCGAACAAGTACTGTTCTAGAAAAGAGACAGGGGATTTCCAACATGAACAATTCTTCTCCCAACAGGTGTTGGTGCTGCTCCACCTTCTGGCACAAAGGCTTGGCACTGCATAACAACCCAGCCAGGTACAACACTCCCCTGAGCTAAGGAAGTACTGTTACATCTACATTTTAGAGATGGAGGACTGAGAGACACAAAACTAAAGCAACTTGCTCAAGGTCACACAGATAGTCTTCTGGCAGAGCACGGAATCAGTTCCCCCAAATCCCAAGTTAGTGTTCTAACCACTGGTCTATCCTTCCCTCCTAAGTGTTAACCAATACTTTACAAAGTCTGGGCCTATTAAGCTTCAGAACTATGTCTGAACTTCTAGCCACCTCCAGACCCTACTTAAAATTTAAGATCAACCTTCACCTCCACCTCAAAGTTCCTCAGTATCTGGGGACTTACACCACCAATTCTGCCATATCTCTCTCAAATCCCATGTCATCCATCTTGATCCATATTCAGGAGGAAGTTTACTACAGTTCTCCAAAGGGACAGACTTCTAACAGTATACTTTAGTAAAGAAGAAAAAGGAAATTCTGGAGTGTGGGGCTATCTCCTAACTTCTGCTATGCACCTCTCTAACCATTATGCAAGCGTATATCTTCTCTATCACTGAGAATCACTTTTCTGTACCTCACAATGCCAGTCAAAGCTACTTCAAAACATAAGCCTGCAACTTCAGAAGTATAATTTGTTCTAGTTAACTGTTTTGAGAAAAAAAACAGTAACTTTTCAGTTGTTCAACACCATATCTGAGACCATTGGGCACATAAATAATAACTGAGCACTGCTCTAGTTCTTTAAGAAATTAAGCTTTTCAGGCTCTCTTTTGCTGTTTAGGTCTTTAGGGAAAATAAAGTGTGTGACAGTAAAAAAGCATGTGACTTAAAACTTGTTGAAACCTTCTGGTTCCAGTGGTTAGGACACAGCTCTTGGCTCTTAGAAGATGAGGTTTATGGAAGAGAAGCTGATAAGTAACATATGATCATGTAAGAAGAACATTTTTAAAATGTTAACCTTTTCTTAAGATATTAATGGATGAATTTGCAATTGATTCTCAAGACCTAAAACAATTTGCAGCTGTAACTTTTCCTAGGAACATATATCTGCTATGCTAAATCGGTGAAGGCCTGTATGATACCATTTTATATTTTCACTTAGGTTTTAGTTTTATTATATCACTTTTAAACTAGTTTTATCCTCTTATTCCATTGTACTTAACGATTCCCATTTATGGGTTTTATAGTACATGATACTTCTCTGTGTGAAGAAGCTACAGTAAAAATTCAGTATCTTGCCTATCTTTACTGTGCCATGAGGTTTAACAGTTTCACTGTGATACATATGGAAATATTATAGTAGAATGTCATCCTTCTGATCACATAACAATAAATCAGGAAAATATTGGAAATTACAGTTTACATGCTTATTAGGCAGTAAAGGACCCAGTACATTAGGACCCAAACGTTTCAATTAGGGTGCCTACATTTAGGCATCTAAATAAAAGCAGCCTGACGTTTCACATTGAGTACCCACAGTCAAGTGAAGCTGCAGGTACTAAAATCGGCCATTTTTTTGGTGTCTAAATATGAATGTAGATGCCTACTATAACTTTAGGCACCTAGGTAATCAGTAGCGTAATTTAGTTAGCAAGTTATCTTCACAGTGTTTTGAGTAATACCTATGCCTACCCATAGAATGGAGACGTGCCTTACAGATGACTGGATGGGATGGTTGTTCAGCTTTTCCATATTGAATATGTTTAAAAGAAAGTGTGCCTGGATTTGATCTACCTTTCATATTTTAACACTCCTGTGCTGGATAAAGATTCCTGAATTTCTTGTAAATTGAGTGAGTGATAGTTAGATTACACTAAGTACATGATCCCGACTTGGCTCTGGCATCTTGTTAGGTTTTAAGTTAAAGCTCTGAATACTGTACACTTGCAAAGGAGCCACTTGAGAGAGCCATACAATTACCAGCACAGAGAGTCAAACCACTCCAGAAAGGCCTAACCGAAGAGGTCAGCAGCAGGTAAACTATATACTGTGTACTGAATTCCCAACCTCTCAGAATTGGTGGCCACAGTTTGAATTACGTTGTGCTAGGAACTCACACCACTGTATGCATCATTACTGAATCTGCCTGAGAAATGTCTGTTAACTTCACTTATTTATTCCAGACTGTATTTTACCCTATATATTTCATCTCATATTATTTACAGTGCTTTGCTTTGTTTTCTTACCTCATTTAGTGAATGCAAAGCTAATTTGGCTTCTTCTTCTTGAGACTTTAAAAGAGTCTCATCCTTTTTGCAGAAGAGGCATAAGAGTGATTTAATTTGAAGAACCAGTTCAGTACTTCTGTTATTTTTGCAGGAAGCTTAAAGACCAAGTAGTGCAAATTCACCTAGAACAATTTTTGTTTGGTCTAAATTAAACTTTCCCATTTTAATATCATAATTATGGAATGTACCAAATAATCAATTATTTAGTTGGGAATAATCTTTCCAATGCTGCAGAATAGTTTATAGCCGCTGTGCTTAAGATGGCTAGGTGTCTTTTGTGTATGCGTGTTTTTTTATTTACTTGTTGATATAAGCATTAATAAAGACAAACTGGTGATTTTAAAGGGTGTACACTTCAAAAAATAAGACTGCAAACACTAATGAACATATGAAGGCCTGCTAATGACATTTTGGCATATATAACAGCTGGGTCAAGGTTTTCAATGTGAGTAGTAATGTTGAGTATCTCAGTTCTTGCATACACCAACCTAAGACACTTCAAATGTGGAAAAGTTTTAGAAAAGTGCAGCGCACACAGCTCAAAATAAGGCATCTCACATTGGTCACCCAAAAATTGACATCAGCATACCCTGAGTAAGTTACCCAAGGTCACCTGTGAAGCCTGTGGCTAAGCAGGGGATGTGAACCCAAATGTCTCAGATCACATAATAGCATCCTATCCTCCAATCCATCCTTCCTGTCTAAATTGCTGAACTTCTGCCCAGCCCCAAGCCCTCCTATTCCTTCTCAGTATATGTACTTGGCCCAGGGTATGTACTGCTCATTTTTGTTTATTTACATTTTTACAATGGACAAGTCAAATTTCATATATAAAGATTCTGCTGGATTTGGTTAGCTTCTCCCACTGTGTTTTTTAACAGTAGGGAAAATGTATTTTATTCATCCTCTTACAATTTCAAGTCAACTGAAGGGATTTTCCTCAGTGTGAAAAAACAATCATTTCTGGGCACCGATCAAGCATGTAAAAGTTCAGCTCATAAAGTGGGTATTTTGGAAAATGTTGTATTTCTGAAACAGGTGCTGAGTGTGTTGTAATGGTCCATACTAGCAACTGATACAATATCATTAACTTTTATAAGGGATTTCTTGTTATTCATAGAATATCAGGGTTGGAAGGGACCTCAGGAGGTCATTTAGTCTAACCCCCTGCTCAAAGCAGGGCCAATCCCCAACTAAATCCCCCAAAGGTCCCCTTTAAGGATTCAACTCACAACCCTGGGTTTAACAGACCAATGCTGAAACCACTGAGCTATCCCTTCCCCCACCAAGTTTTTTTCCTCCCATTTTAGCTGCAAGATGGATTCAAGCATCTTTAAATTCATAAGCAACTTTGAACTAATCAGGACATCACAATCTAGCAGATGGCAGGTAGGGTTCCTTCAATCATCTTCTCCAGGAAGTACTACCGGCTGGACTGCTTGTTATGCAAGTTGTTGCTACAGTGAGTGCAATAACATGGACTGTTTCTAGGTATAGCAAAACAACCATTAAGAGACTTCTTGGAGGTATAGACATAGAGGAAACTACAGTTTCATTTTCAATTATACATATTTGAATAATATACAAAGTATAAAAACCAGGTATTAAAAATTCTTATTAAATCTTCTATTTTAATTAAATTTGTGCAAACCACTTCAGAAGATTTTTTTAATATAATTTAGATGAAAACTGGCTGACTTCAGCTCTTCTCACTTTACATAAAATGATTTTCCTGCCACCTGAAGTTAGGGTGACCAGATGTCCTGATTTTATAGGGACAGTCCCGATTTTTGGGTCTTTTTCTTATATAGGCTCCTATTACCCTCCACCGATTTTTCACACTTGCTGTCTGATCACTCTATCTGAAGTACATCTATTGTTAGGGGAAGAGGTGTTTGCAAAAGTTCCATTTTGGGACACATAATGTAATCAGTGAGGATGATCATCTCCTTACCTTAAAGGAAAACTTTCTAGGGCAATTATGCAGTACAAAGTGGTGTTCCAATCCCGCATCTGGTACTCTGAAGCTATCCATTCATATCAATGACTTAAAAATAGCTACCCTACTGGTATGAACACTTTACTCCTTGTAGGGACAAAAATGGATCCCTGGCTGCCAAGACAAAAACTGCATGGATATTCCCCTTTGAATTAATGAAATGGGGTATGAGGAAAGCTTGATGGCTCTGTGTTAAGTCCCATGTTTACATTGATATTTTATTTTAAACACAAAGGGCTGAGTTTTCAAACTTGATCACCCAAAATAAATACCTAAATTGTACATTTGATGCTCAAAAAATACATAAAGTGGGATATGACATATTTTACCATATTAGTGCTGATGCACATTAATCTTCTACCTGAGAAGCCCAACCTTAAAGATGGTTCTCTATCGCTTTATTTGTTAATGGGCTCATTCAGCCAGTTCATGAAGGTGCATATATTATATTCTCTTTCCATTCTAGTGGTACTTTGTGATTTTGGTAGAAGAAAGAATGAGAGTCTGCCCTTTCTTGTGTTCTAAAATATCTTCTCTGTTAACAGCCTGTTGCATTTGTGCTTATTAATGATATTGATGGGAAAGCCATGCCAACAAACTTCCATAGCTGATTATTTTTAAATTAAAAATTAGTAATACAAAATGTGGTGTTTGAGTCTCTAGTCAGCTGCTTCTTAGATGGGGTGAGTTCTGCTAGATGACAAGGCTCAGGATTCCAGTTCTAACATGTAGTTTCCTATTTGAACTATCATACCACTCTGTCCTTTATAAAGAAGTCGCCCCTTCATATCTTAATATGGCACTGTGGCCTGCACGAGTGTGATACCATACCTCCCCAAATGTCTTGCATTTCAGGAATGCTTGAACAGCTGAAGTAACATGAATAATATGAAGAATGTACCAGCAAGACATTCATGTTCCTAATAAAACAATTCAGTAAAGTTAGTCGTTACACTTATATTTTATAGTGGGTGTATTAATTTTAATGTCTCTTTTATTAACATTTTATGCAAATCATGCCCATTAATATAAAGATTTGTTGGCCCCTCAAGCTTTTGGCACATTACCAGTATGAACCACTGTATCCCCTGAGTCTAGCTCACAGAATAGTCTTTGTTTGCACTTTCCCCTGGGTCCTCTTCACATGATTCACTCCTTTAATGGACCTCACGTTCCACCCTCCCTCTCACTCCCCACAAAAGACATCCATCATTGGGCAGATCGTCATGAACGGAGAATAGCCAATGTGGTCTTTGTTCTTAGATGGATGTTTGGCAAATAAGTGGATAATTTAAAACATAAATGTTCATGCATAATAGCCAAGTTTGTGGCTCAAATGAATGGATACCAGATTTTCCAAAGTACGTTTCCCTTCCTTGGTCTCTTGTACATTTTCCCTCCCTTCATTCCACTGCTGAGTTTTATGAGGCATTATCTCTTGAACATCTACATCCTTCAGAACCATGCAGCAACCTTAGTACGTTCCCTCCAGGGAGCTTGGGTACAAACTCTGGTTGGCAGCCTGTGCTGAAGCTCATGCCATCACATCTACATTGCTATTGTTACCCATGGTGGCTAGGTTAAAGCTAGCATGGATTAGTGTGACCAGATGTCCCGATTTCATAGGGACAGCCTCCATATTTGAGGCTTTTTCTTATATAGGCATCTATTGCCCCCCCACTCCCTGTCCTGATTTTTCACACTTGATATCTGGTCACCCTAGCATGGATATGCCTATTTGTGCTACAACCACACCCTCCTTTGCAATGTAGACATATCCTTAAGGTATGTCTACAATGCAGCCAGGCAGTGTGACACAGCGCCTGTAGTCATACCTTAGCTAGCTTTGATCTAGATACCTTGAGTAATAATAGCACTGTAGCCGTGGCAGCAGGGGTGGCAGCGTAGGGTAGCCCCCTCAGGTTGGGCCCTGGGTACATACTCAAGTGGCTAATTAGATCAAAGCTAGCTGAGTTATACCTATATGAGCTGCAATCACCCCCCCCCCCCGATTGTACTGTAGACAAACCCATAGTAATGTCTTCAAGACCTGTAGGCCATGTTACATGTAACAGGATTTTGATGCTATATTCTGCATCATTCCCTTTTTTTGGAGGTTGAAAGTGATTTTTCTTATCCGGGCATGTGAACATTCATCTTGTGTCCTGCACTTAAGCTCATATACAGTTCTAGTAGCGCCAGCAAGAGAGAGTATGGAGGCATCTGGGGAATCAGCCTTGGGAACATTTACTAGACTGTATAAATTGATCAGAATATTTGATATGAATTTTGTGCTCTTAAAAGTGACTAATAGTACCGGTCAGAGCCAGACAAGAGCCAGGTGTAGTGCATGCAGGCATTGTGCAAATTTCCCCATGTATCTATGTCAATCTACTTTAATCCTGATCTATAACACTTTCTCTGACCTCATCCTAAACCTTTTCTGAGTACAACCTGCCAATCATGTTAAATTGGATGGTACTTTTGTAAAAATGACCTCTGGGGAGTTGGAGGACATAGTTAAACTTATTTTAACCTGAAAACTAAGCGGGCTTTACACTCTGGTATCTAGGAGTGGTAATAGACAGACAGACAACCGGCAGAAATTCTGTTTTTACCTTACCCATCTCTCCTATCAAAATTTCCATTTAGGGTGAGCAAAGTGGGAGAAAGTTCAGATTTTCACTGAAATTGGGTACGGATTAGAACTTGACATGGAGGAAGTGCTTTATTGCTAATTACCACTTCACAGAGCAGCACAACTACGGACAGTAAATGATTGCAAAATGAAGCAATTAGCTGTGTTGTAAAAATGTTAAATTCACATCTCACGTCAGATTTCCAAACAAAAGTGTTGGAAGTGGGATGCTGTTTTGATTTTGAACACCTGCAGCCAAAGCGAGATTTATTTCTACACCATGTTCCCAGACTAAATCTACACATATATTCTGCTCAGTTTCTTCATACTGTTAACTGTTTACAGCCAGGATAGAACTTCTGATCATGAACACAACACTTAGCAGAATGGGGGCTTGATCCATGACTAGGGCTCCTCGGTGCTACTGCAATACAAATAATAAATGATAGGGCAGATCCCTTACCCCACTCCAATTGATTTGTGCTGCTCCAGCAGAATTATTTTATTTTAATTTGAGGTTTTATGTTTCAATTTATTTTATTTTGAGGGAAGCAGAGGCATTCTTGATGGCCTCTTGGATCTTCCTCAGCTTTTCTTTTTCTTTTAAGTTCTTATCACACAAAGGTCTCATGTTGCAATTACCCTCCGACTGGTGGGGAAGTGCTGGACGGCGCTTCCTGGAGAGTCCATTAGTTCTATTTCTTGAATTATCCATGAGAAGTTGCTCAAGTGTGCTGTGCTTTCATATTTTCCTCTCCAAGTCTGAGAACCCTAGGAGCCAGACACACGGCCTTTGTGCCACAAACGTCCCAAGTTGACTGAAGGTTAAAGTACCAAGCTTCACACCTGAACTTGGCCATTCCTCCCCGTCCCCGCCACCGGTTTTGCTGGATGGATGGTGAATCAGTGGATCAACCTTGCTGCATTAAACAGCAGCCCTCCCCATCTGCTTACAGAAATTCATATATTTTTTATTTCATTTATTCCCCTCCCCCCATCCCAATCTGAGTCATCCCCAACAACAGAGAAGGACACTACAAATCCATATTTGATTTTTGCTGTATATATATGGACCCTTACATAATTTTCTGCAGTGCTACTCAGCCTGCGTGTTATATGTTCAACACATGTTAAGCTCAATAAGCTCCAAGGGGGAAAAGGTCAGGAACTTAAAAAAATATTTGAAATAATTATTTACAGGTTTTAAGTAAATCAGCTGGTTTTTCCCTTTGATTAAGGGCCCCAGATGGACAGCTTTAAAGGATGGATTTTTGTAAATGATGTTCTGAATTTGTTGATTTAAACTTTTATTGCACTTATCATAGACTCTAAATCTGTAATATGCTTAAAAGTTTAACAAAACACAATAAACTTACCTTAAAAACAAAACTGCTGAAACCCTTATGCCCTGGCATAAGATCTTTCATTGCATGGGCCTCATTACAAAACATAGTTGCATAGCCTGTCGACCATTAAATACTCCTGTAAGACCTCCAGCACAGTCTCCCCATGTTTTACTCAACCCCACTGCCGCAGTCCTCACTGAGTTTCCATAGCTATTTTAGGCTATGCGATATAGTAGAGAAAACTGCAGTAATTTTTTTTGCTAGCCAACATTATTTTTTAAAAATCAGCAACCATGTAAAGATTAGCCAGAGCGGTTAAGCACCCAAGATTTTTCCTTCTTTTCTTAGCCAATGAGAAAACAGATATGGATTGTTTTGGACCGTCATCTATGCTTCCTTGAGCTGTTTTTAATTGTTTCTGACTCTTTCATTGGGCTAGATCTTCGTCTTACATAAGTTGTCATAGTTCAATTGAAGTCAATGGATGTGGAGTTGGGACCAAAAAAAATTGGACCCCCAAAATTGCACCCACTGCTTTTGGGGGCCATTTTGAAAGCATAGCCTGTAATAATCTGCAGATATCTGCATATCTTTCCTGGCTACATTTACCATGAATCAGAGGTGATGTGACGTTTTGATCTTCTAGGTAGCGGCTCTGCAGAATCGCAGAGCTCTAGCAAATCAGCAATACCTTGCAATGCTGCAATATAATTTGCAGAAGGGATATTAGTGGCATCCACCAAATTTTGAGATTACATGGAATAAGTTAACTAATTTATAGAGGGACCGGAGGGTCTGATATTGGGGAACTAAGCCTACAATTTCTAGGTTATAGGTTAAAGTATACTTAGCTAGACTGGTAATGATCAAGAATTATTACCGTCTAGTGGTGGTTTAATGCTTATGTGAAAGGAATTGGTGGTCTCACCCCAGTGTCTAGCTGACAAGCATTTGCATCAGAAACTCACCATCATGATTACTATACTAGTTGGCAGTTTCTGAATAGACAGAGTGAAATACCATGTCACTACTGAAAGTAGCACCTTCTTCAGGTCAGGACTGGGG